TCGGGGCTGGCGCTGTGGTTGCTGGAGTCGGGCTGCCGGTGGCTGTCCAGGTGGCAGTAGACGCCCTCCACGGAGGAGAACTGCTCGGGGCACATGGGGCACTTGTGCTTCTGGTGGGCGTGGGCCTGGTGGATGTGGGCGAGCAGCGCGCCCTCGTCGCCGAAGGCCTCGGGGCAGTGGATGCACTGCAGGTCGGCCTTCTCCGAGAGCTGCGGGTGCCGCGTGAGCACGTGCTTCTCCAGCGCCTCCGTCTGGCTGAAGGTGTCCTCGCAGTAGTCGCACATGAAGTCGTCCTTGCGGGCCTCCTTCTCGCACTTGGCCAGATGCTCCTTGTTCTTCTTGTGCGCCTGCATGTGGCTCTGCAGCGAGCTGGTGGACGAGAAGCCGCGCTTGCACACCGAGCACTTGAAGGGCTTGCTGGAGCTGTGCGTCTTCAGGTGGATCTTGAGGTGGTCGCTGCGGGAAAAGGCCGCCTCGCACTCGTGGCAGTGGTACTTCTTGTCGCCCGTGTGCAGTTTGATGTGGCGGTCGCGGCTGCGCTTGTGCTTGAAGAGGCGGCTGCAGTAGGTGCACTTGAACGGCAGCTTGTCGCTGTGGATCTGCTCGTGCCGCTTCAGGTAGCTCAGGCGGATGAAGGACTTGTCGCAGAACTGGCACGGGTACGGCAGGCCCGTGCCCCCTTCCTCCTCGCCCAGGCCCAGGTCGCAGCCATCCCCGATCATCTGCGTGGGGGACGCCACATCCTTGCTGGAGGGAGACGAGGCCACCCAGGAGAGCTGCGGGTCGTCGTCAGCATCTGCGGGGCGGGGGGGAAGGCGGAGAGCAGATTAGAGGCGATTCCCAGGGCGGCGGAGAGGCAAGGACAGAGCCAGCGTCTCCGCCGCGAGGCTGAGGCTTGCAGCTGGCTGGCCGGGGGCGGAGGGGGATGGGGGGCCGGAAGGCAGTGGCCATGAGGGCCCTCCAGCCTGCAGAGGGGGTGGCAGGGGGGCGGCGGCAGGAAATGGAGGGGCCGTGCCCTCCCCCTCGGCGACACCTGCCTGGGCCTCGATGGACAAGGTGCCCCCGCGCGAAGGGAGGACTTGGCCCCTTCCCTGAGGGGGTGCAGGGGCCGCTGGGACAGAGCCACGGGAAATGAGACATGTTGCAGCGCCTGATGGAGACCTGGGGTGCCCTCCCTCCCCCCCCTACCCTGGCGGGAAGCCCTGTCACTGGTCCTGGGGGCATGGGCAACCCTTGGCGAGGAAACACGGCGCATGCGCACGAACTGGACTGTGCCACGTCATGGGGGATGGGGACCCCGAGGAAGCTGGGCGGCTCCGCCCGGTGGCAGACACACATGAGGCGGGAAGTCGCAGGCACGTGGCATCGACACCAGGGCACACGCGGGAGCGGGCAGAGGCCACGGAGAAGGGTCTGTGGTTTCCAGCCCAAACCACTTTCAGGGGCTGTTTTCTTTGCTTCCCTCGACGCCACGGTCACCCAAGCCCGGGGGTGAGGGGGTGCCTGATGGTGACTGAGTAGAGGAGGGGCCAGGACCCAGGTGGCCACGGAGCTCAGAGCCCGTGGGCCCTTCAATCCCCTGGGGGGCGGGGCTCTCCTCACAACGCCCCATG